TTTCTTTTTTTTCTTGATTCTTTACTAGAATTCTCTAATACTCTTTTGAAAACTCTTTCCTCTTGGTAAATTTCATAGGTAATCCTTTCTTTGTCTAAATATGTTTGCAAAAATTTGGTATCTGCTAATTTAAAAATGTAAGGAGCAATTTTTTCACCTTGTTCCTTTTTCAAAATACTTCTGATGGTACTATAATTCTTTGGTTCCATGGTAGACCTAATGTAAATTAATTTCATATTGTTATTTTTATATAAGGGTAATTCTATATAGCACTTAAGAAAAAGAGAAAATGACAAATGTGACATGAAACTGTTAAATTATAATCACATTACAAATGACTAATTTTTGATCCCTGAAATCTTTGGTAATACCAATGTTCACTTTGTCTGGTTTTGTTGCAGTATGCCCCATATTATGTACAGTATATTATTAATATTATTATGTTTATTATGTTACAAAGAAATTTCAGGGATCACTTTGTTGCAGCATGCCCCATATATAGTATAAATATGGCTTAGAAAATTTGGAAAATTGAGAAAATATGCCACAACAAAAAACTGGGATTTCCACAAGTCCTTTATACTCTATTAATGATAATAATAGTAAGAATAAAAATAGTAATCCGTTATCATATGAAGCTACTACTTCCTCTTCAACTACCAACGATGCTATAACTCGTGTGGTGGAATGGAATGATAAAATGGAGATTGAGTTTTTTCGTGCTGTAATAAAAAATAGACCTGTTGGTATGACATAAATGATAGTTTATCGATTAATTAACAAAATATATATTATATGTTATATAAATAAATATATTGTATGCATATGCATAGGTATACATAGGCATATTCGAATGTTAGATATAGCGAAAGAATTCAATTCAAACAGTCCTGTAAAATGTTCTATTTCAGAATTATGGGAAAGATTTGGTTTATATTTCAATATACAAAAACTCGAAGAATTAGTAGGCATTTTAAGAAATAACTTAATAAATTCAATTATTTCAATTTATGCTAATTGGTTTTTTTGGAAAAATATATAAAGGAACATGAATTTGATGGTGATGATAATGATAATGATCAAGAAGAAAGCTCTCTTTTCGAATTTAATTTACCAATGGATGAATATCACAATCTTATCGCAGAAAATCGTAAAGCAGGAGGATCTTCACGTGGTGAATCACCTTCTCCATCATATATAAAAGGTCAAAGAGGACGTAAAGGACATTCCAGAACATCATCACTCACTGTCTCTTTAGAATCTTCACCTGAGCCTGAAGGTAGTTTATTAATTGATTATTTTGAGATTTTTTAAAAAAAAGTTAGTTAACATTTAATTATTTTTCACTCACTTAGAAACTAAAAAACCTAGAAGAACTCGGATTACAAGGAAATCTGACATTAGCCTTGAAAATAATAAAACATTGAATAAGCGAGTTAGCAGATCAAGAAAAACTTCCGACGCTATTTCACCTACACATAATCTATTATTATAATCACAACAACAGTTTTAACTCATCACATACTAATTAAAAATAATAATAATTCTCTTTGTATTTATATAATAATTAATTTTAAAAATATAATAACTCCAAAAAAATAAAAAAAATAATTCCAATTTTGGCTTTGTGCCATATATGTGCACAACTTGAATATAAAAATTTGACAAAATTATTAGTAAAAAATTCTTTAATCCACTTTTAAAACATTAAAATAATATATTAAGATGGATAATCCTGGAATAATGGATCCTTCAGCATCGCTTTTAAGTATTCTTCATAATACTGCTAGCAATAACAATAACAATGATAATAAGACAGAAATTACTACAATTACTACTACCATAAACACGACTATTCCGTCTGATTCTAATGCAACCTTGTCAATCAGTCAGAACTTAAGTCAAGAAGCCACCTCAGAACCACCAGAACCACCAGAGCCACTAGATATAACTTCTAATCCTGGCTCTACCACGAATTTTACTTTTACTCAAAATCAACAACAATTTGGCCCAAGTAATTCTTCTACTAGTTATCTCTCTACTCTTGGTATTATTTCCTCTACTTCTTCTTCCTCTTCTTCTTCTTCACCCTCAACAACTATATCAACAACACCGCCGCCGCCGCCGCCGCCACCTCCCCCTCTTCAATCGTCTCTTGCGGTTACTCCTACTACAGACTTCAATGTTTCTAATGATACAACTACAGACACAACCTTTACAAATACTTCAACTATTGTACCACCATTAGAAGCTTCAAATATTGATGATACATCAATTATCACTACTACTACATCGTTACCACCATCTTCCTCTTTCTCATCACAACAAACTCAATATACCGTATCATCAAATCCTTTAACTTCTTTGTTAAAGAGTTTTTATCCTTCATCGTCATCTGTAACAACAATAACCACCACCAGTGGTGTTGAACCATCATCACAAATTGTTTCATCCTCATCTTCATCTTCATCTACCTCTGCTATTCTTGGTGGTGGATCTTCATCATTTATTGATCCAACTTTAAATGTGGACAAATCATCAACTGAAGGTCTAAAGAAAGTCCTTTTTGGTCAATTTTCTATACCACAAAATATTGAAGAAAGGTATTTCTATACACTTTTAATTATTACTCAATTGATTTATTAAGTAATTTATATTTTTTATGCTTACATAATGCTTATAAATATATTTTATAATATTTTTTTGCAAAAAAAAAGTCAACAGCCTACTATTTTCCAAACAACGTCCGAAACAGTTGATATTACTACTCAGGACATTAACTTAGATACTACCAAAGACACTAGTTATCCAATTCCTTCTGAGGAATCATTTGCCGAAATGAATGAGCCATTATCTGATGATAATAATATTAATAATAAATATTCAAATTTGGAATCAACAGAACAATCTTCAACATTATCGTCAACAATAATACCATCATCATCTACTACTTTAACAAATACTACCATCACTACAACAACCACCACTACTGCAGCAACAAACGACGCTAATAGTAACAATAATAACAAACCATTGTTTACTTATAAAAATCCATTTGATCTTTTTAAACAACAATCTCCACCCCCTTCGCCTACCTCTTCCACTTCTAATCCTGATCAACAGCAATTCAATTCATCTTGGTTTTCTTCTCATAAAAAAAATGAAACCCAATCATCTTCATCTTCATCACAAAAAGAGAGTGGTGGTATGTTACCAAAACCATTACACAGTGTTGAAACACATCTTTCAAGTTACTCTGCTTGGAATGTTCGTGCTGTCAGTAAATTAAAACAACAGTCAAAGTATGCTGTATATATTATTTTATTAGGATTATTATAAACAAAAGCAAATAGATTAATAATATATATCTTTTTATTTTTATTTTTTACAATAATAATAAAAAAATATCATTGTTAGTTTTCCTGATGGTGTACGATTACCAAGAGGAGTTCTTTTATATGATACTGGCAATCGTAATGAAAATGTTTTGTGTACAAAAGATTTGGATCTCACTACAATAACACTTGTTTTAAATGAATTGGAATATCGCTCAGGAAAATTGATAGCCGTTAATAATTCTTTTATTTGTTATCATATTAAAGGTTAGCATTATTTGTTATATTATATATATACACACACACATATATATGTTCTTTCATTGCTAATTTATATTATCTTATTAGGAGGAAAAATTCGGGTTATTGATACTTTATTCGGGAGTAAACTTTTATTAAAGAGTCAAGATAAATCTATAATTGATCTATGCATTCATCATGTTCCCTACGAACCAAAGGATGCGGATAATGACAAATCTTTTAAATATTTGCTTCTAGTACTTGGAGAGAGTAGGATTACAATTTGGGAGCTTTCACTTTCATCAGGTGGATCAGATTCAGAAATATTGTATGTAAAAATTTTCTTCTCGATATTAATAATTAATTTAATAATTAGTTAGACACTTAAATTTTTGCTTTATATATTTTTTAGATCTAAACTCTTACTTGAAATTGATGGTAAAGCTTTGATGGAAGATAACAATAATCAACCAAGATTTCATAGAGCAATTTGGCATACAGTAAATCCTAATATCTTTGCAGTGGTAGTTGATTTTAATGACGTTTGGATCATAAATATTGCAAAAATATTATCAATAAATAATAAACCTTCAAATGTCAAGGTCAATGAAACTGATATTGCTGATTATGTTTTGAAAACAGGAAAATATGGAAAGTTAATTAGCGATTTGGCATTTTCACCCGATGGATCTACTTTAGCAACTGCAAATGATGACAGTGTTATTTTTTGGAAATCGAATTTCAATATGAATGATGTCACCAGCAATGATGATAATAGTGACGAATTTAGCAATGGCAATCTTGATCCTATCAAAAAAATAATTTTAGACGGGCAACAAGTTTCCTCAGTTTTGTTTGTTGATGATAGTGATGATAATAGTAATACGACTTTAGAACATAATAATAGTTCATCTTCAAATTTCCGATATGTAGTTCTTGGTACTGAACTTAACACTAATCTTCACCTTTACGATGTTGAAACAGCTCAATACATTCAATCTATCAAATTTTTGCCACCTCCACCGGAACGACACGCCTTCTCCACTAAAAAATCATCTAATAGTCGTAATAAAGAAGAACAACCAATGTTCAATTGTATTGGTTACGAAAGAACCAATCGGACTTTATTAGTTGGAAATAGCGCTAGAGTCTCAATATTTGCCTTACGTTTGAATCTACCCAGTCGTAAAAAACTAGATTCGTCATCATTTGATGATTCGGTCCAATTCAATTATATGATTGAATTTCCAGTTGGACAATTGATTGGAAATTTTGTTGTTATCCCAGATGCAACTAGTGGAAATGGCGTTTTAACATTTTGTACTCAAACAAAAGCTGTTCAACAATATCATATTCGTAATGAATTATTACTACCAAACAATTTCAAAGAATGCCCGGAATTTGTTAGTGCTGATAGATCCTTTGTTGATGATGATGACGACGACGATAAACAACAACAATTAAGTGAACAAGATTATGACGATGAAGATGATTTTGAAGAAGATCACCAAAAGAATAAAGTGAATGATCATTTTTTGCCTGAACCTGTTGCTACATTAACAACGTCATATTCTTCTGAAAATATAAATCATCATCACCATAATAACCATCATCATCATCAATCTTTCACTGAAGATGAAGAAGAAACTATTACAAATGATGTTGATAAGAAAGATATTGGTGAGTAAATTTAATAATAATAATATTGGATAATAATAACAATAACGATAATAATTAAACATTTGAATCATGCATAATTTTTTTCTTCATTGATGAACTAGAAGGTTCATCAACCAATAGAAATATAATTCTCGAATCATCTTCTACATCTTCTACCACCGCCATATTAGATTCAAATAATAATGTGGAAAAAAATAAAGAAACCAACAAAACCAATTATGAACAAAAAACAACAAAAAATGTCACGGAATTTGCTCTTAGTAATAATACCATTGCCAAATTAAAAGACAAAAAAAAGGCCACAAGTTCTTCTAACCAAAATGTGATAGAATTCCCTTCTGACCCTGAAAGAACAACTACAAGAAGAAAAGAACAACATGCTAAATCATCTAGCAAAAAAGGTGATAACATAACAACGACAAATAAATCTGGTGGTGGCGGTGGAAATGATAATAATAGTAGCAAATCAAAAAAGACAGAAGAAAATTCTAGAAATTCTGGCGGTAAAAGTTCTGCATCAGGAAAGCAAAATGCTAATAATAATAATAATAATAATAATGATCATTTAAATTTTCAATCACAATCACAACAAACTACAGCTTCATCTTCATCATCATCTACAACAACCACATCATCATCAGCGACTTCCCAAGTCCAGATGCAACCATTTTTAAAAGAAATAAAAAAAATGGAAGATACTGTTTCCAACAAGCTTGGAAAACTATTTTCTAAAGAATTGGAAAAACAATGTAATGAATTATATACTTGTATTATTATTATTATTGTTGTTGTTGTTATTTTTTTTCATGCTTTTTACTCTTATTTGACTTGTTTTTTTTTTTTTTTTTTTTGAAATATTACTAGTTCAAAAGATTGAAGAAGATCGTATTGCTCATCAAGCAGCTGAAACGTCACGTCAAGAAACAATTTTAAAAGTCGTTTCACAAACACTTAGTACAAACACTGCAAAATTATTGGAGACGACAGTTCGTAATGAAATTCAAATTAATGTTCTTCCGTCATTAAGTAAGATGGTCAACAGTGCAATAGATAAGCATGTTCATAGAGGAATAACTGAAGCAATGAATAAGGTATTCTTATTAAAAAAATCATATAAATTTTTTGTGGATATCTGATAATTTATCTATTATATTATATTATATATTCAGAGTATTCCAAATACCATAGAAAAATCTATCTCAGATCAAATACAAAGGATGCTAGCAAAGAATGCAGTCATTGAACCCATAGCTAAAGGAGTATCCAAAACAATAAAACCAGTGATCGAAGAAAACTTTAGAGATTACTTTGAAAACATAATCGTTCCAACATTTGAAAAATCAACAAATTCAATGTTTGATCAAATCACTTCTATGCTTGAATCTGGTCTTCGGGATATTAGTATTAGTACAACCACTCCACAATCGTCATCAACAACAGTTCTTCACGATCAAAATGCTACAAATAATATAACAAGATTACAAACTTCCGTTGATCATCTTACTTTGCAAGTACAACAATTGCAACAATTCTTGCAATCACAACAACAAGTATTACAACAACAACAACAACAACAACAAACACAACAACAAGAAGTACAGCAGCTTCATCACATTAACTCTCAATTATTTGCTGCTATTGAGCCTACCACTCCTGATGGACTTAGTGCTGTTTCTGCTGATCGTCTTTTAGAAATGGGAAATTATGATGATGCTTTTGCTACAATTTTAGCAACACATGACCTACAATCTATTCTTCGTTTATGTAGCAAGGTTAATCCTAGTGTTATATTTGATTCTTCGAGTAATTTAGTTTCTCAGCCTGTTATTCTTTCCCTTGTTCACCACCTATCTATGGATCTTCATAAATATCAAGAATTTAAGTTAAATTGGCTGGAAGAAACTATCATCAAACTTAATCCTAAGGTAACAAACAAACTAGAATACCACTAATTCATAATGTATATGAATGAACGCGAGAAAGGGAAAAATCGAGTAAATGTTAATTTATATAATTTTTAAATTATTATCTAGGACCCACTTATCAAAGATCACTCTGAAAGGATTTTACCAACAGTTAAACAACGTCTTGAAGAGCGTTACTTTCAAGTGGATACTCAGGATAGTAATGATCCAACTTTAAAATCTATTTCATTTTTGGTTCGTGTACTGAATAATTTGACGGTATAATATACACACATACAAGACAAAACCGACTACTTATTTTATTTGTACAAAAATATATATTACATTTCAACCAAGTATTTTTTAGTTTATTTTAAATAATAAATATCATTTTTTATCAATTTTTTTTGTCACGTGTCTACATTATTACATGAATTAAATTTTAAAATCATCATCATCATTTGAAAGATTAGTATTTTCGTTACTTGTATTCATAAATAAACTGAAACTTTCCATCCAAACTTGACGTCAAAAAAAAAACATGGTTAAAATGTTACATCAATGGATCGGTACCATGGCTAACCCTGGTTGAAACAGAACGAGTAAGTATTACTTTTTTTTAAAAAAAAAGAGAATGATCACGGTTGAAGTGGGTGCGGCGTTGAAATTTATTATGAAAAGCTTGGGCTTTGCATCATTCAGTTCTTACAACGAATTAAATCCGAAACATTCAATTTATTAAAAGATGGATTGAGTGAATCTAATAATTTGTTAGGAATCAAAATTTCTATATAAGCACGCAAAATTCTCGTCAATTTTCAATTTCTAATTTTTATACAAAAATTAACTTTACCCAAACCGTTCAAACTATAACTAAGATTAGATAAAAATATATGAATAAATAATACTTTTTGCAAAAATCACTAATAAATTAATTCACTTTAGAAAAAACTATTTCGTTTGTCATTAGTATTAATTACACGCTTCAAATTTTTCAACAATGAAACAAACTCTTTTGATTGTGCTCTTTGCAGCTCTCTTCTCTAGTGCCTTTGTTGGCACAATGAGCATCAATGGTGGAAATGGATTCTTCAAAAGAATAATGTGCATGTATTTTAATCTATTCTAAAACAGTGTGAAAATGATTTTTTTGCAAATTCACAAAAAATCATCTTTAAACTTTTTATGTAAATTTATATCTTGATATTTATTAACTGTGTGCACATTTATAAATGTTCTAATGGTTGCTCTCCTGGATAAGTATGCGATGCTCAGACTTCGAAGGGCCTTCTTAACCAAGGATCACCATGCAACAACACCGGCGATGACCCGGAATGTATAACTTTTGTTTGTCGTACTGCTGCCTTCAAATACCAATCTTCTGATACTCGTCTTCTTGTAGATCCTTGCCAAACGGCTAATGCATGCAAGAGTGGGATATGTAGTGGTTTCGTGTGCGGATAGATAGATATATTATTAATTTTATTTTGCATTTTATAAACAATAATGATAAACAAATATAATACTACCCACCTAACTTGAACTTTTCTTTAATCTCCATATTCAATTATTCGTGCATTTACTTTCTCCCAGTAAAAAATATATAACATCCCATCATCTTAAACATTGGCACCTCTAGTTATTTATTAAAAAATATTTTAACTATCTAATGTTATTAATGATTAATTATTAAATAGGCGAGTTTTAAATAATAATAATACTTGCTACAATTATACCATATATTGTATATAAATAAGTAATGAATAGCGGTAATGCTCTATTTAATGCCATACTGTTTATAATATTATAAAGGGAGACATTAATCGCTATCTAATACAAAAATTTTTCTTTATAAATACATGAATGCAGGAAAATTTTGTTTTTTGCAATTTTAATAATAAATATCAATAGCTTATTGATTATTAATGAATCATTTCTAAAAAAAAATCACAGACTCTTCGAGTAGAGTTGGATTTCTGGATTTGAATTATTTGCAGTTGCATACCCCATCGATTCAACAACAGATTGAAGTTTAGGACCAATTGCTCCTCCGGTATAGTTTCCATCAATCGCAATCGAATTTTTTGACGTTTTGCCTGGAACTTGTTCATGAGTCATTAGGGATTCAAATACAAGGTTTTAATCACGTGACTAAGTCTTGACGTTCCGACGTATGGTTGTAAACTAGTTTCCAAATAAAAAGATTGACAATTTACAGTATCGTTTTTTACAGTTGTTTGAAATCTAAACCTTTTTGCAAGGAAGTCAAGTGATAAAGATGTTGTGACAGTTGTTAACATTATCAGCTGCAACGTTATATTGAGTGCATGCTTTAAACTTGGCAAAAAAAATCATTCTCCGAAACAAATTGTCTGCCTTTGAGTGCAAAAGTATTTAATTCGGCGTCGATTTGCTTAATGGCCTACCGGTTGATGATGATACTACAAATCTATATAGAATATGCCCTCGAATTTGATAGTAGGTATCAATTCTGTTACTTTTGATGGTTGATATGATCCCCATGACGATAAAAATCCCAAGCCATGTATAAATTAGTGCAATGCCACTTGTGTAAAATCCATTTGAGTTGGTGTGTGATTGGTGTTGCATCATCTTCAAACCAAAAATCAAAATCGGTGTTAAATTCTGCGTCTATGTCGGTAGGTAAATATTTTGAGGGAGCCGTAAATCCGAATTGTTTTACTAATGATTGTGGACCACATCATATCCGTCTTTT